AACAAAACCTATCTATCTATCTATCTATCGATGTGTATGTATATGCATACACTGGTTTTTGTTTATTTGTTTGTTTGTTGGTGTTTTTTTCAATTAGACACAAAGCATTACTATTATGGATTCGCACACTACAGTATTAATAAATTGTAAAGAATTGAATACAGTATCTCAGTTGTGGTTTCATGCGTATGTAAATTTAGTATGTACATTTCACGTATGAAACTAATGCTTCATGTAATTTCTGGTCTTTTCACAATCATCCAATTATTTGAAATCAAATTAAATTAAACGGCAGTTAAAATTCACTCCTTTTCTTTTTCTTTTGATTTTATTTGATTTTGCAAAATTTTACAATTGTTGAGACGAGAAATTTAATGCTGTACCCAAATAAGCTCTTCTCATTGACAGCGAGAAATCTTTAGTACAAAAGAGAGACAGACGGTGAGAGACTATTGATATCCGGTGTTGTATTGATACCCGGGAAGAGGACATTAAATCTTGGACTATGGAAAGCAAAATGTTGGAGAAGTTTTGATGCTATTGGGAATATTTGAAAATCGAACATCCTTAGAAGCATCAACACAAAGACACACAAAAGCATATTTTTTTGAACTCCATAGGTTGTTTGAAATTAGTTCATTTTTCATATTTGTCTTTTGTGTAAGCCATAATCCATACATTTGATAAATATATTGTTTCTATTTATCATTTTTTATTTTTCTACGTTTAGAGGATCAGATAAAAAGATGAGAACTTCATAGATAAAAATATATATATTTGGTAATAACTTATTTTATATATTAACTCATTCATAAAGCTTTTTTCCAAAGACAATTCATTGAATCAATAAAGATACAACATTCTCAGAAACAAATAAGTTATGATTTTTTTTATTTATGATTTTTTTCAATTGAAAGAATCAATTTATGTTATATTCAATAATTTACTTATAATTTTATGTGCAAGAGAACTAGAAAAATATTTGTACTTATACCTTTGAAGACATATAAGGTTGTGTGCAGTTTTATATTGCAAGTGTGTGTCAAATTTGATTTTGTTTATGTACATACTTGTTACATAGCAAAGTTGATTAATTGCATCATTTTGAGTGGTAAAAGAAAGACTATACATAAATATATATACATGTATATATATATATATATATATATAGTATCTGTATTGTCTTACTGGTAACCTTTATTATTATTATTGTTATTTTAGATATCATTAATAATTTATTCACAACTACAACATTTAAACATGTCAAGTGGACACATAAACTGGAAGTATTCAAAAGGTTATTACCACAAATACATGTATGTGGACAGTTTTTCTTAATCGTTTGCCAGAATGTCATCACAAGTACACATGAATACATAATCTAATAAATTGAAAAATAAATAAACAGAACATGGTGTGAATATATATATATATATATATATATATATATTTATTTTAAACTAAATAGTAACAAGTAAGCCTAGGAAAGTACTTTATAATTGAAAACCTCTTTTGAATATATGATGAAGGGGTAATAGTCTAGTGTAAATTTTGGAGAACAATTATGTCTCTTAATATTTGATATGCTCAATAAATTGCCATGAAGATTGTGAGATTGTCTTCCAAATGTTTTTTTAATACTTCATATTAAGATTTTTAATATATATATATATATATATATATATACAGTGTTTTCCCCATTAATTTCTTTCATTGATTGCATGAAAAAGTATTAATTATTGGAGATTATTAATCTTCAGATGTGGGGGGTTGAGGGTCTCATGGAAATTGACTTTACTAAAGCCCTACAATTTAGGCTAATTGCTTCCACCCTGGCAGGCACATAGCCTTTGTTGACTACCTTGGTTGATTAATAAATAGTCAAAAAAAATCAATTATTTATTATAAAAAAATCAGAAGTTATTAATAATGCACCATAGTACAAAGTCAACTCGCAATATTTTGATTAGTAATTTAATATAATTAATTTTAGGGGGGGATGAATTTACAAGCAGAATATCATACATGTAAACACGTTTGTATATATACAAGTATAACAAATTCTACAACTGTAAACTAAGAAAATTAATTAATATTTATTTCCTATTTTACTTTCAAAGACATTGAATTTCATATACACACATACGTAAATACTTGTATATATACAAACGTGTTTACATGTATGATATTTTTGAGCTCAAATAAATAAATGAAAACAAAATCCCTGAAATATGATTTTTTATGTTCTAAGAAATACTTAGCTATAAAACTTAGGAAAACGAATTTCATGAAATGACAAATGCTTGTGTAAAAACAATACCGAGTTAATAGTTGTTAGTCAGTGTACAACAAATTGAAGCGGGAAAGACACCATCATGACAAAGAGTTTGAACCCCACCTTGGGTTCCAACAGCCTCGAGAACCTCCGTGGCAGACCCAACTGCCAGCTAGGATTCACGACCTGCCACGGGTGACGGATGACGTGGACGCGGTTTCATGTTCGAATCTCCATGAACGCTGAAAGTACGACTGCAAAACCGCCCAAAAGGACAGGATGAATGAAGGCGTTAGTTTATTTACGTGGAACGAACAATCATCCTCATTCATTCGCACGTTATGCGCGCCGACAGGGCCATCTAATGAAAGCGGAATCCAATCCCCCCAACTGAAAACAGATATAGGGTTTCGTATTTACAGTGGGGATATATTTATATTTATATTTATAATGCTAAAACTGAGAGAAATAGTTTAATGTTTTATCCATTAATGGTAATGCATTTAAATCTCTGGTGTGCAATGAGAGCAGTAGATTTGTTGTCGGGGCCCCAGGGCAACGGAACAAGAAGAAGTTGTAGGGCCAGCTGGCGGCTCCCCATTGGCTCCCCGTCGGTCTCCCACCATTTGCTTGATGAAGTGCACGTTCTTCAGTGGATGAAAGTACAGAAGCTCAGTGGATGAAGTACATAAGCTTGATGGATGAGATACAGTAGCTAAGTGGATAAAGTAGAGGAGTTCCGTTGATGAAGTTATGAGCTCTGTGGATGAAGTACAGCGTTTTGAACAACCAAAACCCATTTGTGACGGGGGTGGTTGGCTTCGTGGGTCCATTTGATGACACCTGGCCTTGTGGCCCAACCACCTTGAGCCATTGGGAACAACAAGTGGGAAACAAGGGAACCCCTCCGTCTCATACATATTATTGTGTTTGCACCTGAACAAGTTTCTATTTATTTATTTATTTAGTTATTTATGTGTTGTATGTTCCAATAAGAAGAGAATTGAATAGGGTGTGGATGGTGGCGAAAAAGCAAAAGGTGAGCGTTCAGAATGGTGCGTGGTGTAGAAGGCATCAGTTTCATGCGTTACTATGTGCTGGCACGTAAACGCTACCTCCAAGAACAAAGAAGTAACCGAGAAGAACCAGGAACTTATAAAGGCGACCGTTCTCCGCAGAATCAGCTGACACGCCCAGGGTGGATTCCGCCTGGAACTGGCATCTGATCCAGTGGGGTTGGGGGGGGGGTATACACACGATACTTGCTCACCGGAATCCGACTTTTCGCTCGTCTCGAATGAGTTCTAATCATGTATATATTTATTTTTTCTCTCCCTGTCTGTGCAGTTTCAAGGACACTGTTAAGATCAGTGTTGATTTTCCAGCAGAAGCACTAGCTCTACAGTCCACTATGCCGAATGCCAACGACATGAACTTCAGCTGTTCGCATGTGTCTGTGTAGAATAAATGGTGACAAATTTCTGAGCCGCATCGATACGAACATGAGTGCATCCTTAGTATCGGGCCGGGACGTCTTGAGGGACGTGAAAGAATTTTGGTGCAGCAGCTGGATTTCTGGACATGTTCCGCGAGTAGGCGAGTTCATCGTCGTCGTGGGTCGGGCTCATGCCCACGAAACAAAGACCCTGCACCTCACTTGCGTATGACCCAACGCATTAACATTATGCAAATAGCCTCTTGTTAATGCGGGCGTTGTCCGATTGAATGGACGTGCGCAGCATCGCGTTGGATTTTTCCTAGAGATGACTCTGTTTCATCACTTGGATCGGCTAATAATAGATAAATCGACATTGCAGCAGAACTAAACCTAATCTTCCAGCCAAATTATTGCAGTGGATTTATGTCACCCGGAAGCACCTTAATTTCTGCTCGAGCAAATTTGAGAGCGTTTTCGAGAATTATGAGAATTATTACACACGATCCAGATGCACCACTAAAATTTTGTTGACTGCCACAGTCACGTCGCGGTCATCTCTGAAAAGTCTTCAGGGTGAAAGATGAAATGTGACGGTTAGACGCATCAAAAACATTCAAATGCAATGCATAAAAGGGATTTTTATGGTCCTACGACGCTAGAGTAAATAGAGAGCTATTAGCGCTTCGGATAGCTCTTCTCTTCAAAACAAACTTTATTGTTTTCCTATAATACTGGGTGAGTTGATGATTTGTGAGCAGAAAATTGGTTCTAGTCACGTTTCATGGAATTCTACATGGCTTCAGGAAAACTTGAAGAACATTACCCCATAGTGCCATGTAGGATCCGAAATGACTTTACTCATTTACGACGTCAGTCTTGGGTTTTAAAAGCGAGACTGGATTGGCGTAAAACCGAAAGATGATGAAGTCCCAATGCTCAACGATCCACATCGTTTAGCTGTGAGCCAACAAACTTGGGTGTGGGCGGACGCGTAGTTATGGTAGTATGAACATGTGTGCTAGCATGCTAGTGTTCCAGTGCCCACAATGCTTTCTTACACCAGTGGATGGCAGCGTGGCAAAAGCCAGCTTTCACTGGGTGTGGTGAAAAGGCGACATCGGCTGGAACTGAATAATAATTCGCGGAGCGCGGACAGAGAGAGCCAGAGCCGATTCTGGCACATGCAAGGAGGGGGGGGGGTGCAGAGGATGGATGCGTGGGAGGGGGGATGAACGAAGGGAGATGAAGCTCACACCCTAGACTGATAAAATTTTCCTTCCATGACTGGAGAGGTGGCAGCACAAGCCTTGAAGAGCAGCAGCTGCGGCTTCAACTTCTGCTCTCAGCTCCCGAGTCTCCTCGCCTCCTAAGTCTACATCGCGCAACACTCTCTCGCTCATTTTGCTGGTAATTTGTGCGAAGCCGCAGTTAGACTCTTTCGCCGGTCTAATCTCCCCTCATACTAGGTCTCGATTGCGATCCCATCTCTACCCAATTCGTTTGCGAGGTCTCCACTGCAGCTTTGCAACTCGGCAGGCTTGGTGGTCAGAGGGGCTCGATCGGTTCTGACCTGGGGTTACCTGCAGCTGCGGCGATGGCCATGGGATGGAGTAGTGTGATAGTGGTGATAATTGTGGGGGTGATGGCCGGCGTGGAGGCGAAGGGGAGTAGGTTTACGGGCAGCGACTGGGGCAGAGCCCATGCCACTTACTATGGTGGAGCTGACGCCTCCGGTACTCAAGGTGGGTGCCACTTTAATCCTCCAGTTATCGATGTTTTCAAATGTAGTCCCTCTGTAAATCTTCTCAGAAATGCGGTTCGCCGCCGCCATGGTGGCTGCGTTTTGCAAGGGGTCGCAGTTGTGACTGTAGTTCACAAGGAATGCGGGTCATAGCTGGGTGCCACCCACATTGTAGACTGATTTTCGATGCTCAACTAAACAATTTCTCAACTTTGTGTCGGGCGTATGGAAGTTACGATTGAGCCATTGTTACAGAGTTGAGGTTCACCTGTGGGAGTGGGCCGTTTGTGAACTTCCCGCACATTTTCTTGATCGCTCCCTTCGTGTCAAGTGAATACGTATTCGCTACCCTACACGTGGGACGCAATCGATTCTAAAAGCTGTGTATCGGTTTTGTAACTGTAGGCGGAGCTTGTGGATTTGGCAATCTCTACAGCAGCGGCTATGGTACCAGCACTGCTGCTCTGAGTTCGTCTTTGTTCAATAGCGGTCTCAGCTGTGGAGCGTGCTACGAGCTCACCTGTGACCCGTCTGGGTCCCAGTACTGCCTCCCGGGAGGTTCCGCTATTATTACTGTTACCAACTTCTGTCCTACCGGTTCTAACGGAGGCTGGTGCAACCCACCCAGGCAGCACTTCGACTTGGCGCAACCTGTCTTCAGCAAGATTGCGCGCACAGTGGGCGGCGTCATTCCCATCAATTATAGAAGGTAGACTTGGGCTGTTGGTCTCTAACTTGCAGCCAGTGATGGTCTCTTCCAGTTTGGCTTCTAGGTATAATACCTGTAAGCCATTGTATTAAGATATTCTTTTGTTATCACTTGATTGGCAGAGTGTCCTGCCTCAAGTCTGGAGGCATGAGGTTCACGGTTAATGGCAACCCCTACTTCCTGCTAGTGCTCGTCACCAACGTCGGAGGCGCTGGCGACGTGCAGCAATTGTATATTAAGGGCTCCAGCACCGCCTGGCTACCCCTAAAGCGCAACTGGGGGCAAATGTGGCAGTTCACGGGCAACAGCGGAATGCACGGCCAAGCGATCTCGTTCAAAGCCGTCACCAGTGATGGCGCCGAGGCCATTTCAAACAATGTGGCTTCATCCAACTGGGGCTTCGGGCAGACCTTCGAGGGGTCGAACTTTTGACGGGGGTCATCCCTCCGTTCATTTTCTTAGTGGGTCAGATTGGATCATTTTAGAATGATCCGGCATAGCTGTGGTGTGCGATTTAGCGACCGCCCGCTTCTACAATTACGTCAAGTTTAGTCTCTATTCTTCCTTGTTGTCTAGTCTCCATGTTCGGACGTAGAAATCAATCCAGGAGTTCGCTCCCGTGATCGATCGTAGCTGTCCTCATTGGTCAAGCTCAAGATGAAGATGTGGAGATCACATAGAGGATGCCGAGGTGTGTGCATGTCCGTGTGTCAATGTTTTCCATTACACCACCCGCTCCAGTCCCTACGTTTTATACTGTTCATCAATGACGTTGCCAATCCATATACACGTCAAGTTCCTCATGATTTTGGTCCTGTAATCCTGAGCTGGTTACAGTGGACGTGATGTTGCTAGCGATCGACTGAGTAGACTATCAGAGTGTATTGCCTCTACAAAGTACCATTAAATTTGAGACGTGCCCAGATATTTCGGATACTATATTGGATCGATCGTCGTGCTTCGTTTCTTGACTACCTGCACATGGTCAGCTGATCTTTCCATCTCAATAAAAAGTGAGTTGTGCACAAGCGCATCTGCTTGCTTGCTTGTATCAATTTCTTCATTCCATGAGATCTTGTGTACGAGGCACTTCCATGCGAGACTTTGTATTCTCCCACATTCAAATGTGTTGTTGATTTGAGAGGTATGTGAGAAACTACTCCCATCAAAGATTATCTAAAAGTTGTAACAGTGCATTATCGCTCAGTATTTACGTTGAATATAAACGTCAATTAAATACATGATGGAAAATAGAGATTATTGCAAAACAGAGGCATTGTTTTGAAGTAAAGTAGCTAATAGCAAACATCCATCACCACCCGTGTCAATGTGTTTTTAAGCCCATTGCTCATTCTGATTTCAACTCTACATCTACTGTGGCGGGCAGATTGCAGCACCTCATCATCAACTTTCTAGGTCATATTATGGTCATAAGAAATCACTAAATCATGTTCTTAAACTTTTTACTTTAATCTACAAGATATCTACTCATCATCTCTAATTGTTTTGTTGCATTAGAAGAGATGAAATTCTATATTTCTTCCAGAATAACCAAATGGATTTAAAAAAAAAAAAAAAAAAATCATTCGACATATTGTCACTTTTGAACTCCAGTTCACATCACAATACATGACCTTGTAGAGTCAACATGCATGATCTCCACCTGATATTGGGAATTTCTCCAGGAGCTCAAGCAAGGCTGAGTTCCAATTCCCGAGGCTGTTCCGATTCGGGAAAGATGCGCAGGTCAGCTCAGCTTCCACATTTAGGGGTGGAGGAGCAGCCACATGCCCTCACCTTTGCCCCAGGCGAAGTAGCGAAAGCCCTCCTGAGCTTTTGGCGGAGCACACATACACACCAGCCGACACGAGCTCCAGCCGAACTCCTGGGTGCCCTAAACAGCAGAGTGGCGCACATTGGTCCAGTGAGCCTGCTAGTTTTGTCCACCTTCTCAGAACTTCCCTGCAACACCTGAAGTAGATCAGAGAGGGCTCCAGATTGTCAAGCCATGTGCCAACATTTTTTTTGAAAAACAGCCTTATCCTCCACATGAAGCCAGTTGCCGCTCGCTCGCATTACAGGAGCCTGCACTTGCAGGTGTGGCAGGTAGTCTCCATTGGCGAGTTGACAACGCGCTCCGCCTTTGACTGAACACACAAGGATGGGTCGATGCTGCAGATGGAAAGGGGGCTGGGGTTTGAGCATGGCGGGGATTTATTATAGCTGCCTAATCTGGTAAGCACTCTGATGGCAGATTTGTTGGTTCACAATTGTGAAGTGATCCAAAAGGGCAGCGAAAGATGATGGACTGCATCTGACTATGCTCCCCATCTTGTCCTGAATCTGCTCTTGTTGCCTGTCTGCCTGGTAGTTTCTGAACAGTTTATTTGTGTGAGTGTAAGTATATATATATATATATATATATATATATCTGTGTGTGTGTGTGTTTGTGTGTCTGCAGAGGTGACAATTACCATTGGATTGTCGGGTTCCAGGTTAATGTTTAAGAAAGCTCACAAATGCTTGAAGTGGCAATTGAACTCCTTGCTTGGAGTAGTTTTTGTTAAGCGTCCGTATTCTTCACACCTCATTGTGGGCCTTGTTCGATACATATCCCTGTCAGACTGCAAGAATGATGGGCTATCATCCTCTTCAACTCCCACAAGCTCGATTAATCTGCTGATTTATGACTTGCGAAATGTGGCTTGACATGTGTATCCATATGTGCAAACATCTCCGTCTGGGATTCTACGAAAAATCATGATCTGCCCTGATCATGCTTCAATTTTCAGCGTTCCATACCTCGAGATACCTTGCTCTATGCACAAAGGGAGAAATTCCCTTCTAGAAATTGGTGTTGAGAGAGTACCTGAGCCGTTTGTGGATCCTTGTGAATCCTGGTGCACTTCTGCACACAGTTTTCCCTTCCACGTAGTACGTGTTGCCAATTAGGTCAAAGACAAAACCCAAGCTACCCTCACAACAATGGATACCAAACATGGAGAACGAAGGGAGAAAACCCCCGGAAGCATTGGGATGGCCCCATCTTGGATCCAATTCTGTGTCAGGCGAGGAACGTGTGTGCACTGGCGCTCGTAAGTGTTCGCCTGTCAACGTCTGTGGGTAATGCCAGCCCGGCCACCAGCTGAGCTCTCCTTTGGTTTGACAAACTTGTCAAGACAAAGCAAGAGTCCAGCTCTTCATCAGCATGTGAACAAAGCGTGTCAGAAGCCAGTCAATTGAAGTACTGATAACTGCAGGGACTGGATTGATGGATCCGGCACAGCTACTTGATGGATGATGTCTTGCAACAATCATTTGCATACCAATCCATTCTCTCATCCGCCGCTCTATGCTGTAATTGAAGCAACATAATGTTCAGTTTCGTGGACAGAACCAAATCCCTCAACCCTTTCTCCAGTTTCTTTCTTACTTGTTCGTTGATGTTTTTTTTTCTTTTTTTGTGTGTTTTATCTTACTCTGCCTGCTACCGCCCACTATATGGCAGCCTGTTTCTGAAACTCGGCGGTTTACCTCTTGCGGAGATGTAGTAGCAGAAAACCATATGTGACGGATCCAGTACCTGCTGTGCAGTGGTACAAATATTGAAGTTCCTCCATTTTCCAATGCATGTGAACCACACAAGCTTTAAATGACAGGACCCATCAAGAGGGCATTGATCTGAGGTCTAGCAACAAATCAATAAAAGTGGAGTGGACTGGTGGGGCAGGCTGAGTCTCCAGCACCTGACTTCTGGGGGCTTGGTTCATTCAAAAAAAGGCCCCGTTATCTGCTTTAAACATTTAATAGAAATGGAACGCAACAAAGAAGTCATACTGGGATTGGTAGAGGGCAATGAAGTGAGCCTTTTGCGAGGACTTGAGCAGTAGTAAAATGACCAGGATGAAATACTGTATAATGGAGGTGATTTTTGAGGTTAGTGTCTGTTGGAACTCATGCTGCAAGAAGTAATGAAAACCCAATTGGTATTTATATAGTAATTTTGTTCTGTATAGGAATCTCAGTACTTGTGTAGTGAAGCAAAAGATTTACAAACTCCACCTCATGAATCCTTCCATGTTTAATGTTTTCAGAGTGTGAAATGTGACTGAATCGATATTGTTATAAAGTTCATCATCCCCGTCTCTAACTAAAACATCGAGATATCCAGAAAAGTCGTTTTGTCCATGTGCTCTTGGAACCTCTTCTTTTCTCTATTTAGAAAATCGGACCGTAGGAGACGCACTTCAAATTGTCAGTCTGCGAAGGATAATGAGTACTACAGAATGCCATTGAAGTGAAACCTGAAAACAAAACGCAGCCACAAATTTCAAATGGATTCAAACACATCAGACATATTTCCTCCTTCACATCACTCAACAGTTGACAAATGCTAAGGTTTCATGAGAGAGTCGGGGGACTCATGATTAGTCTTCTGCACACAATGTGGACATTTTGTACTTTCTGAAATTCTTTGGACAGCTGGATTGTATGTGTTACAACCAGGCGAGCAGCAGAGCGAACACATCCAGTGTGCTTTGTTAACCAGAGACAAATTTGAAGATGGTGGAAACTTCATCTATTAAGACGATAACACAGATCCCTTCACATTGTTGTTTGCAGTCCATTCAAATTAAAGAGTAAAATGTCTGTCAGTTGGACGTTCAAAATTGAGGCACCCATTTTTTGGCGGTGCAACTCGTTGTACTACTAGTTCGTTATCTGAAAGAAATCTAGGTCTGAACAATAATTCTGTTGCACAGGCAACATTAAATATACAAGATACCAACTTGAACCTTCTCTTCTCATGATACCAAGAATCCATTTTGTCAGTACTGTTGGAACTGATTCGACACAAATGCATATCCGCTAATTTCTGTGAGAAGGTGTAACAGCTGTTCATCAGAAAACAGAAAGATGGTGCAACACTCGACAATAACCAGGAAATCTATGTACTGATGTACTTGCTTCAGATTAGTACATACTAGGGTTTATCACCAGTTCAATCAAACTTGCCCAAGACACTTGGGAGATGATGTGTGAAACCAGTTCCTACCAAGGCAGAGCCTTCTGTTTTAGACTTTGTTTCGGCTGAACAAGCAAAACGCATGCAAACTGGTATCCACAAGAAGTAACCCGTTCACTGATTTAACTTCGGTGATACGTGATACTTGTTCGAGAGCATGTTACACCGGGTTTTCTAAACCTAAAATATACCATCAGTACAACGCCATCTGCGTAACGTAATCACCACTATGAAACTGGAAAGATCGAGCTCAAATGGATGGACTTGCTTACCATTTACAGTAAGCCAATGACGGGCGGCGTATATCGTTACTATGTGGTTGTTGAACAAGACCCGCCTACTCCTTAAACTCTTACCAATGTGGAACGAGTTGCATCTCCTGCTGCACATACCGAAGCTAAAAAAGAAGATCCTATGCTGTCAGGCATTCTGCACGCGTGCTCCTGCTTCATCCCAAACTCCGGTGCAATTCACAAAATCATCATGAAATCACGAGGATATACTTTGTTGAATCACGTCCAGAATACCTCCCGAAAGAGCAAAACATGGACGCCGACCTGGTTTCCTGAACAGATAAAAGACTCATTACAAGGACCGGAATATGCGTTCCCAGCTTGCCACCAATTTGGAATATTATCCGGCACCAATTCGATGTTACATTGGATGCGACCTAATAGCATGGAGTCTGACATGTCGTGGCCGAGTGAAAACGGTGATAAGAAAGTCAAGGTTGTTTATGGTTGCGGAAATAGATCCAGGCAATCGCCACCTGCCCCATGAAATACACATACCATTAAGCCAAGAGATTCTCCAAATTGTTGTTCAAGCCAGTGATGAAAAATCAACGCCCACATGACCTCCGTTAGAGCTTAAAAACTCCATTTGAACTTGATTCAGTTGCCTCAACGCATGACCAGTAGACATTCGTCACAAGGAGCAACTAGAGTTCAAAGTTGGCAATCCATCCATGATCCATTCGATGCAACATTCTGTTGCATCATGTTCCTGATTGGGGTCAATGTGAGCACAGGTTCAAAGTATTTAGGGTCAACGTTGTATCAGAGGAAGGTGCTGTATTTGAGATACTTCTCCGGTCCATGAATGCTCTGTTCCAGTCTCTAATGATACCGGTTCCGTGGGCGTTTCAACTTCAGGTTTCTTCCTCCAAGGCGGGTACCTCCTAGAAGGATTCAATGCCAGATCTGCTGTACCGTTGGGAGAGAACACGACCTGGCTGCCAATAACCAGAATGTCTCCACGCCCGTGCCATACTCCATTATGGACATTGTTGTGTTTTAAAGTTCTAGCTTCCTGTATCATCAATGTTCTATCGGCTGAGAAGGAACAAGTCCAGGGAATCCTTGAGTAACAAAAAACTTGCACGGAGTTACGGAGGAAAACCCACATCAGCCGAACTTCAAATGGAACTGATTGAACAAAAAACATGTAATACTGCTGATGAATACACAGCGTTAAACAGGTGATGATGATTTCAAATATTCCTCCGAAAGACGCCCCTCAAATTTAGGTGAAATGAGCATGACCAAGAGGCAACAGGATGACCTACCTGACATAGTGAACAGCAGCCGCACATAAGGTGGTACAGATGATCGTCGATAGTACTGACAGTGTTGTCACCTTCACTTCCCTACACATTATCAAAGCAGCTGTGTGAACCACAGATAGTCCATCGATCCATCATAGTCCATGTTTCGAATTCCGCAACCACGCTGCTCCTTGATATTAATATGGGTAATGGAGCAAAAAAACCAAGCACCCAACAACGGCATGAACTGCGCGATATATGAAGCAATACTTCCACCGTGAACTCCTCGAAACACTAACAAATACATCGAGGAAGGAGGATATACGTGTACCGAACATCTTCATGAAGATAAATAGAGAAAAAAACATGAAAGAAAAGATCGAACACCGCAGAAAATAATACGTCTGCTTAATCACACCCTACATCCCAAGGAAAAATTGACGCATATGCAAGTTGCAGCCTCGGACGGAAGCGTATACACTGGAGTAAGTTTTAGAACTTACAATAATGTTGAATCTCCTCCGCATGCGGGCACGATAGTGACCAGCATAAATTGCAATCAGCAAAGTCACACCCACAGTGCCATAGATGTACCATGGTGAACCTGTGTACAAAAACATGATGTAAAACCACAACGCTCCTATTGCGAGCAGCAAGAAAAATCCCCCCTGCACAGGGAAGCATTCCAATTCACCGATGTGAGGCAAGCCTATTTGCTGATTATGTTAAAGAAGTTGCTAATTGTCAAACTCTACACCTTGAGGCCATATTGTAGCACTTTGATCACAAAAGCTCAAATTACCTACAAAATGTGAAAATTATCCATAACTATGGACATTCAATCCTTAGACCAAGGACAGTGAATAGTACACAACCAAGATTGCAATGCTTCAGAACGACAGAAATTCGCCATAGCATACAAAAGTTAATACAATAGCTGAAAATGCATTAAAAAAAGACCATCCCACGAAGAAAGGCGATGTTTACTTGAGTCCAGCTTGTACCGAAGCCCGACCGCTCCATGTTCATCCCAAATGTGTGCCATGGACAGCTACATAATAATACGATAGAAAGTATTAGGATTGTGTATAACTCTTACAGAACGTTACATAAACGACAACCAGTTGCATGCTATGTAGGTTCGTCTAAATTCAAACCAGAGAAACAGAAGAGAGCTGAATCACACAAATGCGATATGATCAAAGGTGACAAGAGATATAGAATGTGCAACTCTCCGAAACTGCCGTCTAACCGACTCGATAATTTGAGAGGGACACAGACACTAACAAAATACGAAACTAATTGTGTATCCAATATTTACCCTAATACACATAATCATGGATATATGTGTGTGTATGTGTATATATATCAGAGAAAACTTCACCTGTTGAAATTCACCTCCTAGTCCAGATTCTTGACTTCCTAGACACATCTGATCACTACTTTATCAATGAAACCCCTACGATGATATACCTCCACCAAAACGGAACCCACACACTTGACCAGTTTGAAACTGTGAGACCTCACTCCGAAGCAGAAAAGAGCTCGTGATAACGGCAAACCAAAGAGAAGGTAACCTTACCAGGCCGTATGAAGCGTGACATCTGTATACTCATTCACATCAAATAAGCCCCCTTCCCACAACCTTTGTAGACCGACCTCACTACTGCATGGTGTGTTCACTGCAACTCCTACGGGCAGCTCCACGTAGTCGAAAGCTCCGGGAGGACGTGACAATCCTTCCTGTGAAGGTTCCTGGCCTTCCTGCTGGCGCTCTATTGAAGAATCGATGGTTACTTCTTGAAGATCAGTATTGGCTTCACACTGATCCGCTTCAGGAGGCGGTACAGCCATTCTGGCCTCACTCGTTGTGGCCATGGAGGTGCGTTCCAATAATCCCCTAAAATGGATTTGTGCTAACAAAGCCACCCGTAGAACTCATAGGCTCACTCAAGTTGTCACTTTGAAGCAAGAATACCAATCAACTGCAACCGGAGCTAAATCGATGTTGTCATAATGGAAAGGTACAATTGAGATGCACTCCGAAGAACCTGTACACGGCGAGTTCAAAAAGAAATTCAAATACGAGGAGTACTGTCAGGGGAGGAGAGACAGTGAGGGCGTTTTGGGGGAGATGATGAATGGCAGTCAGTGACAGGGCTTACTAGAGGAAACTGTTCTATTGTGAATTGATTACAACACCTCTGTTATAAAACGCATTCAAGAATATTTAAGCTGAGAACCGCAAAAGAAGGTATTCTGCAGAATCGAAATAGGGCTACGCAGGATATGCCTGTTCTCGAACAGGCTAAATTCTAGAATTCGACAGTGGAGTTCATATGCACTGGGAAGAACCACATAATCGATTTGAATGAAAGTGGATGAGGCATCTTGACTTGACTAAGTTACCCGACACTAATCGACACTCCAGGAAACCCACTGCGCGGACTTTCAACACATATCCAGGGATTGTCGTAAGTTCAAGGTCAATATTTGGCACTGACCAGTCTGCTCCAAATACGAAAGACGTCACAGATGATCAAAACTTATTTATCAGAGAATAAAAGAACAATAGAATAATGTACGTTAGATTGATGTGAAGTAGCAGAAGATACAGAAAGGAAGGGGGAGGCTTCTATGAACGACGCAGATTGATAATGATAGAAAAACAGAGATGTATACAGAAACCACATGAGGAGGTCTAAGAAGGGCTATGAAGCTTCCGAAAGCTCCAAAAGTGCTACACGAGATGTGTCTGTGACATCAGCAGCGCACCATGGAAGTAGACACGCCTATCAAACACCCTTCGAAAAAACAATAAAAATAAATAAGAGAATAAAAAACAATAAAAACGAATAAAAATGAACACGAAATGAAAAAGGTCGGAGGCGCAAAGAAGGTGCCCCATGAGGCGTCCCCCAGATCGGACCCTGGATACACTGCACCTCGATCCTGCCAGAGGTCGAACACACAACCACAAAACTACCCAGCTGTGATTACGAAATCAAGGTCTCACCAAGTTGCAGAGCAACCATGTACGCCAAAAACGCAAGTTGGGAGGGAACCAACAGCTCCGCTCTCATCGAGAAGCCACAATTATCCAGTCCACCATCATCTGCGCCACTACTATAAGTACAACTGTCAGAATAGAAAACCAACAACAGCATCCTTCTCCGGATGATCGTCAGCTAGGAGGGCACCGGCACATTCAACTCGCAAGTCCAGGAGGGGCAGAATCTTGCAGCGTCTTTCGACCTTCTCGGTGATGAGGACAACACCACCCTTTGCTTGCATTGAAGATCCATGTGCAGGCCCCGCAGGAACAGGCGACCACCCCAGCCAAGGCACGACACTCGGACGTCGAGTTCCGCTGTAGAACTGTCGTCTGAACGCGCAGTCCGGGGAATCCGGCGCTATTCACCACATGTGCTCCTCTTCGGAATCGGTACTAACACTCCAGCCGAGATTAAACAGTCCTTTTTTTCGTTTGCTCTATTGCCCCGCTCAACCCACGCTCCGCGTCTGTGGGGTTAGATCCTGCACGTGTCGATTATGTATAAACAGCATATTCGATGCAGACCTATTACAGTCCAACCGAGACTGGAGCCGGAACAGGGAGCGGATGAGTGTGATGACGGCGAGTGACGTGCCCTGCCGGGCTTATCAATGGCAGCCGGCACCGATCACCCTGCCACCAACTACAATGATGGTTCCTGAAAAGCTCATGGAGTCCCAGCAACCATGAGTTCCTTCCCGTGATACTACCACTACTCATCGTAAAGCAACGTGCTGCAGACTCCTCGCATCATGGATTTCTTGCGGCCGCCGTGCTTAGGCTGTGCTTTGCTTCCCCTTGGACAATCCCGATCTCCGTCGTCGTGAGTGGCGTCGCTTCACTCGCAAGGCCAGGCTCACGCTCCCCCAATCTAGACACATTCCTACGCCACGGCTCAGCATGCTGCTGCTCTTCCCCCTCCGACGCGACCCCGCGGATGGATGAAACTTGGCCCTCGCCCATTCGTTGAGTGCACTGTCCAGGATGGATGGGTTTAGGGTTACGTCCAAGCGAGCACGCTCTCGGACCATGAGGATTTTGCAAATAATGCGTGCAATGAGAGGCGGACATGTGGTTGTGGGTTGGCGAACACATTTATATACATATAAATTTGTTGGTTGGGTATTTTTCCTCTCTTCTAAGCGATACTTTAAGTTTGTTGTGTGGGCTCCATTGGATGCCTTCCTTCATAATAGTCCCATGTTTAGAGGTGAATCTTCTTAATCACTTGGTTGTTATATTCACCTTGGTGTTGGCAATTGTACTTCCATGCATTGATTTCATGATGTGTGTTTGTTCATCCTTGGGGAATGCATTATTCTTTTGCTTATTTCTAGTAGTTGATGCCTATTTAAGTCTTTTTGTTTATTTCCTGATTCATAGGTACTGTACAATTTATCATCTACAACCGATAGTGGTTATGTGTTTTATAATATATATGTATTTATATTTATATATATAACTATAAGCAGACGTGGTAAAAAAACAATTGATCAATAATCAATTTCTATCAGATATTAAATTGGTTGATTTCATTGCTTAAAACCATTTTTGTAGGACATCAGATTATGCTGTTGTCTGTTCTTGGTACAGAAATAAATATCTTTTTGAGTAGAAACATATATGTGTGTATATATATATATATATATATATATACATATATATATATATATATATATATGCTTTTTTAAATAAATTACTTCACACTATTCAGAAAATAAAAAAATGGTATACTTTAAATTAATTATATTAACGGGGTGGATTATAGTTCTAAATGTTTTTTTAAAAAACTTAGTTGAAATTACAATATGGAGACTAATATTAAATTCACACCAAAATATTAAACTTGTGTACATCTGTTGCCATTTGGAAAGTTCTATTAACCATATAATTTTCAAAAATTTAATGTGCATAAATAATGTTCTGGCTAATTTGTTATTCATTTATAATAAACTGGAATATACATAATTTATTGTTTGCATTCACAAGACATCATAATTAAATGCTTTGGTTGTACTAGACTTATGACTATCTATTTGGTTAAGAATACTTTTTGTTATGATTTAGAAAAAGTTAATACTACAAAAAATCCATAATATTCAGGTTATATTATTCTAGCCACAATAAACCTAAAATGTTTAGATTAGAGGCTAACTCATATATATCGAATACCTTAACCTATAATGAAATTTTTTTGTTACATCTAGAGGAAGTATTTTATAAATAATATCTTCCAAAAACAAAAAATGATCACCTATGACTTCTACATGTATAGATTTAATTTTCTTTATTAAAGATATTTTATATCAATGAATAAAAACTTCGTCTACAAAAATAAATTGATGATCCTAAATCGAGCAAAAAAGACACTTTGTTAAATAAATATATCTAATATCTAGTTTTTTAATTAATATTTTAAAAAATAATAGATGGTTGCTTAGAGCCTTTAATAAATATATCTAATATCTAGTTTTTTAAATATTATTTTAAAAATTCACAATAAGATTTTTATTATCGTATAGTATTTAATATTTGATCTTTTTTAGTATTATGCTACTTATAAAACTTGGTTACAAGATCAAAAAAGACTAAATTGAGATGCAAAAGTAACACATAAATGCTGAAAAAAACTATTATTTATAGAAATAACTTAATAATAATAAATCATTTTCATGTCAATCATTTATTCAAAAACAATATTATACTATAATAAAAATTTAGAAATTTTACAAAAATATTTTGAGAATGATTTATATACTATTATATATATATATATATATATATATATATATATATAAATATAATTTTATAATCTAAGAATATATATATATATATATATATATATATATAAAATACAAATTTACGAAATTCTTCCAAATTAGATTTAACTCAAGAATAGAAAAACAATCTAAACTATGTATCTAATCAAGTCATGGTATTTCTTATCTTTCATATAAATCATTCGAACCTGTTCAAATAAGAGTACAAAATTTTAAATCTATTTGAAAATATACTATTTGAACCGAAATTATCTTAAAATAAAATAAAAATTCTAAAACTTTATTTGATACAACTACACTGTCATGACCATTTATAATTACTTGAAAAATCGAAAACTAATAAATAACAATCCTCAAAAATCAAGATTATCTGCTTCAAACTTCTACATATAAAAAGTCACCTTTTTATTACAAAATTATATTCTGACATTAAAAAATGTTAGAAATAAAAAATTAACATAAAAAGAAACCTAAATTTAAAAAATAAAGTAAAAACAACAGGAGTTTCAGAACCAACATAATAAACTATTAAAAATAAAACCAAACAGATAGAAAAAAAATATACGGCCTTTATACAATGATGTTGTACAAAAGTCCAATTCTACAATCTTATTTAGTATTAGAGAAATTGATTCTCTAAAATTTAATGTTGAACTAGAATTCTTTTTTTGGTTTTTTGAATCCATCTCAATTTAATAACAGTTTAGTGCAATATATAGAAGATTCTTCTAATACAAGCTAAATCCTTTAATACAATGTTTAGTTTTGTTTTGTGTTGTAGATAATAAATGAAAACACCATCAATCAAAAAATAACTAGAATATTTAAATTAATATCATAATCATACTTACAAAGGGTTCCAAAATAAAGAAAAAAAAAAGAATCCTATGTATAAAAATATAAAATATGAATGCTAATTGTATTCTAAAGTTTTATAAATTAAAATAGAAATTTTACTTTTAAAAGCATGTCAACTAAAATTTTAGAAAATTATTTAAAAATAGAATTTATAAAACTTCTCAAATTTTGTAAAACTTATGATACAAAAATTTATAGTTTAATACCATTTTGCAATCCATGTATATCAAATGTATTTATTCTATGCATAGGTACAAAAAATGTAATAAAAATTATTTTATGAAAAATAAAAGCATTATTTTTGTATTTAAAATTACACATCTTAAAGTTTTTAGTTTAATTGATAGAAAATATATTGCAAATAAAATAGATCATACACCAAATAATGGTTGTATTATTACATATATTTGTAGAAGTCACAAGACGCCATTGTAATTTTTGTTTCTAAACTTTGATATTGTAAAATTCAAGTTGACCTTCTTAAAGCAATTGTAATTACTTAAATATTGTTTTGGATAAATTTGTAACATGTACATTATAAAATTTTATAATTTAGTTCTATAATAAAGAAAAAAGACTACACCTATAATATAGAATTATTCTTCTATATTATTTAATCCAATATTAAAAAAAAATGATGAATACCATGTCATGAAAATAAAAAACCGAAAATAATAATTTAAAAAAAAATGTATTTTATTAGTAGTGGTAAGGGTTTAAAGAATTCAAAAACAATCCTTGATGTTGAAAAATATCAATAAAAAAAATTTAAAAAAAATAAGTAAATTGCATAATAAAATTTGGTAGATAAAAGGGGGGTGAGGAGTAGGATGCATGAAACGAAGATGGTGGAGGAGCCCGGCATGGAGTGGGAGATGGCCCGCACAAACGAAGGAACGAAGGAACGAAGGAACGAACGAGGGAACGAATGAACGAAGAAAGGGGCCGTGGCCTGGAGGTAAGGTGAGGTGAGGAGAGGCCGCGTGGTGCGGCGTGGTGGTGAGGTAGCTGCACGGCAGTCGAGGAGGATACTTACTTACTACCTGGGGGTGGGGTCGGTGCGGGAAGAAGAAGAAGAAGAAGAAGAAGAAGACCGCATTGTGGTATGTGTGGTGTGAAAACGGCTTCGCTCATCCGGGTCCCAGGAGGGGCCGTGAGTCGTCCGCTGATCGGCAGTCGTTGTAGTATAGTGGTAAGTATTCCCGCCTGTCACGCGGGTGACCCGGGTTCGATCCCCGGCAGCGGCGCGGCGGCGACCGCAGCTAACAGGCTAGCACCGGTGGTCTAGTGGTAGAATAGTACCCTGCCACGGTACAGACCCGGGTTCGATTCCCGGCCGGTGCACTGCTTTTGTTCATCCACGCCCTTCTTTTCCATCTCCTTTTTCCTTCTCCTTTTTCCTTCTCCATCTCCTTCTTTCTCCTCGCCCACCCACCTCCACGGCGCGCACGCATCAAGTTCTCGTCACCCCGCTTTTCCACCACACCACTTTCTCTCGCCTCACCCCATTCCTTCGTCTTCTCACCCAAGCTCCAATCATATCTCCAATAATATCCCTTCACTCTTCCACACATCCACCTCACATTACAAACATCTTCCACCCCCCTCATTTTCATCATCTTGGTTCTAAAACAAATCCAAGAACAACGTAAAAAAATATACTTGTTTGACCAAACTTGCAAGCAACAATAAGAACAACATGAATCAAACATCATAACAATGTTGAAATTGCTCCTAAAATATATACGTTTTTCCTCCATAATAATTGTAGCAATTAAAGTAGATCAAATAATATTTAAATTTCCATGTCCAAAGTTTAATGGTTTAATCATATTATTCATCAACAATTGTTGAAAGAATTGATGTTGATGTCGTAGTATTAGATTTGTTGAATTTGTATTCTTGACGTAATATAAAATTTTATTAAATTCTTGCAAATATAATTTTCTATTGCTTTTCCATAAATCTTTTTAATAATAATGTGGCAACCAATAGTATAAAATTAAATACTCCTATAAATAGAAATATTTTACTTATTTGCAAAATTAGAGAGGGAAATACCTTTAACAATTGGCAATCCATTTTATTAGTTGAGACATCATTACATTCATGACAAGATACTTTAAAACAAAATTAAAAATTAAAAATTAAAATAAAAATAAA